TCCAATCATAAGGACAACATCAACTTTTCCCATTTCCATTTATTTCTTTAGTTATCAAACACTACAGTTTAATTTAAGGTCATGAAGATTAATTGAATAAATCATAATTAATCAATTGAATCAAATTTTAACTGAGAGAAATGACACACTGACTCTAAAACATTTGCTACTTACTTCACTAATTAAGAAAAAACTCTACAGTTATAAACTAAATCTATTAATAAAAAAATCATATTTTTCTATTAAAGATTAAATTTTTAAAATAGATTTATATAATTAAATGTATTTTTTACATTTTGCCAATCGTGCTTAATTTAAAATGTGCAATAAAGTTTTTTTCATTTCAAATGTTAGCCTATGTAGAAGTGTTCGATTACCAAAGTATCGAATAAAAAATGTCTAAAAGATAACCGATAGATTTATTGATTACTAAAACAATCAATAGGTGCAGCCCTAGTTTTTAACAGTTCATTATTCAAAGTTTTCTTTCCAAGGAAACCCAGATTGCATCAAGTCACTGACTTATAGATTTCATTCCTCTTGGATGAGGATGTTTGGCTAATGGCCTGCATCGGGTTGTTGACGTAGCATCAGTCCCTCATGCTGAGCAGCGACGGCAGAAAGGAAATCCTTCAGCAGAACCAGAACCAGGCTGCATGTGATTGGCTGTTTCCCAAGACTGACTGGGGGTTTCAGAAAACACGGCATGCACACACAAGAAGTACTGATCAGAAGCACTGAGCCAGGAGTACTTTCTATGTGGAAAAAAAAACAAAGTCACAGCAGAAGCAGCTCCTGTTAAACAGCTTCGCTTCTCCTGCTAGAAGGAGTTGGTCAAGCTTTCCAAACAAAGATGTAAAATAATTTTAGTTTGTTTTTTTTTAAAGATCTAATCATTTTGTTGTTGCTAATGATGACTTTGACAGCTTTTCTGGATCTTTTGAAGCAAAAACAGGGTGTTTGATGTCTGTTACAGGCCCAATGAGAGCAGCCTCCATGCTGCTGATAATAAATCCATAACTGCTCAGCAGCCATGCATGTCCAGTTATTATTTGAATTTTGTGGCCTTTAGGTGCCATAAAAACCAAACCAGGATATCTTTATTGCCTTCGCTTGCATGTGGTGATCAGCCTTTGCCACTTTCCTTTTTTCCCAGCCATCTTTGCCTCCTTTGAGTCTATCGGTAGGACCTGTGTTATCTAAAACTTACCAACAGAGCAGGAAGTCTTCTTTTCATTGGTAAAATTAATCTCTGATTTATTAAATAATAATTGTAATGATTGTGCAGAGCCTAATCTAGTCTGTTCAGCCTCTGTTTGTCAGTTTTAATTAGTTTAAAGATGCCATCTGACCACAAACACCCAATAACAGCTGGATAGAATATGAATCATTTTCCATCTGCTTAGTTGGCAGCATGAATAATTCTCATGATGTGTAAAAAAAACACCAGTTATTTAATGTAACATTGGAAACACCCAGATTAAAAATAACAAATGTTTAAAAAATCTAAACTGTGCACCAACCAGCTTTCAACTTATCAGCTGTAGTTTTTAAGCTGTATTATCAGTGGCTTCTTCTTTGTTTGACTCTCTGTATTTGATTTCCAAGCAGACGGCCATTTGACCTGTAGGGTGCTGTAACAGGTTAGGGTGATGCTTTGTTTTATGCTGGCAGAGAAAACTCTGGTTACTTTCTCGGTTGTTCCATGAAATGGACTTTAACTAAATGCTAAATCGATCTCTTTGCAGATTACCTTAAAACTTGGGTTTTAATGGTGCTATCTAATGTTCCTAGCCTTGTGAGACCATCCTGATCCCGCGAGCTTTCAAG